AGGCGTGAGGTGGGGGGGTGAAGAGGAAAACTAAGGAACTATATATCACTGTCAACTTTATGCATTTCCCATACTGAAAACGGATGAGTTCCTTGTTTATGTGATTTTTTTTGGTGTGTGGGGGGATGTTTTGTTTTTGTTTAATTGCTATATAGTCCAGGTTGACCTTGAACTCTCAATCCTCCTGCCTCAGCCTCCTAAATGCTGCAAATTACAGGTGTGTACTACCACACCCAGCTACCTTGTTTCCTTTTCTTTTTGTCAGTTGAAATAAGACAGGATTTGTCAACCCCAACACTACTGACATTTTGTGTCAGAAAATTCTCTGTTAGGAGGCTGGGGTCCTGTGCACTGAGGAATGTTCCACAATATCCCTGGCCTCTCTACTCACTAGACAGATGCCAGTTAGAACCCCTTCAGCAGTTGTATTAACCAAAAATTATCACCAAACTGCCTTCTGTTGAGAACCATTGGATTAAGAGATCGTTATGTTGAAATACTGAAAAATTGTAGGCTCAGGCCAAAAATCATGTCATGTGCCAATTTATTTATAGATCCATGTGGGTGGAAGTAGTGCCAGCCATCTTCAAGCTGTTAGGCTAGACTTGATGTTAGTTCAGTGTAGACGTTCACTCTCTGACACCAGGTATTCTGTGCAAAAATACATGCCTGTGTGAGAATTGCAACCCATCTCACTTGTACCAGTGAACGCTGTGGTTCTGCCTTCTGTGTCCTGACTCCTATAATAGCAATGAAAGTGTCCTTTCTGGTGTGAATGCACTCACTCAGAGACTCTCTAAATCTCTTTGGGAAAGGTATGCAAAGGTAAGTGTCAAACCAAATGAACCCGATCCTCTGTCCCCAATGGGATCTTCTAACAAAGCCTTAGGAGATCCCAGGCTACGCACTGCCCACACGCTATAATACCTTCTACCATCAAGTTCACTCCTCGAGTCAGCCCTGAATAATCACCACTCTTCTCTAAGTCTATTTTGACTCAGCTTCCTTGCCCTCACTCCCTCTTGGCTGGTTTCTCTAACTTTATGATTTATTCTTCATAAAGTTAGTCCGTTTTCTGCTTTTTTAAAAACCTCTTTGGCTACTGCTAAGCTACCATCTTTCCCTAAAAAAAAAAAACTCCCCATTAAAAGTTTGCATTTAATAACAGAAGTTGCCAACGTCTTGACCTCTTTCAGATATGACAATGGATGATGTTCGGGAATACGAGAAAAACATGCATGAACAAACCAACATAAAAGTTTGCAGTCAGAATTCCTCCAGTGTGGATGCCATAGAGAGCCATGCCCAAACAAGTGTATGTAGAATTTTTAAAACATGTTGCCCACACTGTTCGAAACAAACACCCAAAGTGATTTCTGAGATCCAGCCTTCCATAAGAAACGTGTCGTCGCCCACAGGCGCTCGGTGAAGACACTGAGTCTAGAGTGGGCAATGTTCCCTCTTTCTTCCAGACATTTGGATTCTTCAAAGCTGCTTGATTTGGGGGTCATTTCAGTCATAAAGCTTCGAACGTAGAGAGTGAAAACATTTCATAAAAATGGCCTGAACCACCATAAAAGAGAACAGGAGTAAAAACGAATGTCATATGTAGAACAAGATGTCAGTGACTTTTCAAAATCTGGGTAACACTCACTCACTCATTCAGGGAGGGTTTCTGGCTCATCTACTATTTTAGGTTTCTTTCCTGTGCTTTGAAATGCTTTCTTAGGCTCTTTAGAGCTGTTTTACCCAATCAGTTCCTTTTCATTTAGGGTAATCTCTGTGTGCAGCAGACACCGGCTGAGAGTGAATGGCGTGATGCACTCAGAATGGGGGTGCATAGTGAGTGGATCCAGCCTCACTGACCCAAGGTTATATAGCTGCACGTGGGACATTGAGAGATGACTGGCTGGTGTTGCCAGCCTCTGAAATACAGCTCCCTCTCAATCATTCATGCTAATGAAGAGGAGATACAGTAGACAAAGGAAGCTGTTATCCCCAAATCATTTATATGGGTCTTCAGCCACAGCTGTGATCTCTTCAGGTTCCAGCTTGAGTTGTCATGTTTGTGAACCCAGGCCCTGGAATAATGCATTCTATGGGGTTTTTTTTTGTTTGTTTGTTTTGTTTTGAAAAGCAAGAATCCAGTTAAAACTTGCCTAAGATTTTGCATGATTAAAAAAAAAAAAGATTGTAGTTATAGAAAACAGAGAGGTACCTGTTGTAAATGGATGCTTTAGAATTGTGAAGTCTTCTGGGAAGCACTTTGGAAGTTTTCAGTTAAGTTTTTAGTGCATGTCTTTGAATGTGCACTGCTGTGGGATGCATGTGACTGCCTTTGAGGCTGCAATGGCCCTGACTTTTCCTTCCCCACGTGGCATGCAGAAAACCATGTGGGTGATACGCACCTGAAGGGTTTCTTGTGTGTGCATGGATTCGAATACAGATAAGACATTCGCTTCTCCCTCCCTGCTCTAAAGCTAGGCATGTTCTTTAATTCCATCATTTTCAATTTCCTTTTCTTTTAGGAATGTTAGACCCAAGTCCCCATCAACCACTTTGAAAGCTGCTCACTGTGACCAGACAAAGAAGCCCGTGGGGAAGGGGGAGACAGGATGTCAACTGGGCTCTAAGCACAGGGCTTTTCTCATTCCAAGTTCTTAGAGCTTGGAGCTTAAGGCTCTTTGCATGGTTCACTTTTGTTTTGACTATTATTATTATCATTATTACTATAAATTCATTTACTGTGGAAAAGGTGGTAAGCTGTAACGCCCCCCCACCTCCAGAAAGTCTGATGGATGCATTCTCAGGCTGCAAATCATGGTTGTTCCCATGACTTGCACATAAGATATGTCTCCCCCTGTGAAGTTATACCAAGTGGTCATTTTGAATGCTTTTGACATTTCCTTTATTCACTGGAATTCTGTGCAATTGGGATCATTTGTTTTTCCATAGTCTGTCTTTTCTTTCATAGTGAAAAACAGTTAAAGTCAAGACTCTGCTGTGCATCACAAATATAACAGCATGGGTGCTAAAAGATTTTAATCATCCACCTAAACAGATAAATTAGATTGAAAGTATGCAAAATTAACATCCATGGACACAGCAATAAGGAAATCACTGTCTCATTTTCAATTCAGAGGTTTCAAAACCCTTAAGGAAGGGAACTTCTAAGAGACTCTGGGAGGCAGTGGAAAATCAAAGCTCTGTGCTTTGGATGACTTCTGCCCCCTGCTGGATGCACAGAGTACAGCAATGTATTCAGCCACTTAAGAAAGTAACTTTTCAAAGATGCTGCTATCCATTCATTACAACGAAAACACACCTTGTAGCCTAATTCACTAAAGTATTTTTGAGAATTTCAACTTTAATTCAAAAATTGAAAAGTTTTTTAAAAAAACTTAATCTCATTTCTTAATTTAATAGTCTTAATAAGTGATAAGTTTGTAGGTATAATTTTTCTTGATACATTCTGAATTTTAACACAGGTGTGATTCTTTCTTTCCTTTGTAAAATCTTACCCTTTCAGGAAAATGTAATAAGTATTCACAAGGAAATCCTCTTAAGGATTTCATTCCGTGAAAAATGTTTTCTTGTATGTTCAGATGTTACAAAACCTAATGATTGAAGTGGGGGTGTAGCTCAGTGATAGAGTGCTTGCCTAGCATACATGAGGCCCTGGGTTTGATCCCCAGCATCAAAAAATTAAATAAACACCTAAGGAAGTTTCAACTACTAAGAACATGGCAGCAGACAAGAAAGAATGAAAAACAGGTCTTGGGAAGCAAAAAGAGAGGCACAAAAGCCCTAGACAGCAAATTTCACACTTCACTCAAAGTCAAAGTCCTCACTCAATGCGTATTTTTTATTTTAAGAATCGGTTTCCAGTAAATAAAAATGACAAGGGATAGCAGGAATAGCCAGGCTAACAGTAACTAATAATAATAAAAAATGATGGTAGTACTTCCGAGAGAAAAAATAGCAAGCTATAAAGAGCAAAGAGGCCTTGAGAAGAAAGTCACTGGGCTGTTATACAGTGATAGACTTTCACTATGTTAGGACTCAAAGGTAGTAAGTATGTAGAATGCATTAAATATGTTAGGGAAAGATTAACAAGTTTTTAATGTTGCTTTTACTTTCTCATTTAAGAACATTTTAGGTATTTAGAAAATCTCCATTACTTGACAATGCCTGTTAAATGGGACATTGTCAACTTATTTGTTGAATTTCAAATAATGCTTTTTACCTCTTAAAAAAATGCTCAATCATTAATGATGCCATTTACTATTCTTTTAAGTTGTCTTGAGAAATGATTTTATTTTCTTGGTTTGGGGATAATTATCAGGGCTTATTTGTTGTTGCTGTCTGATTTTTTAAAGTGTTATTACATACCATCTAAACAGTCTCAGGATGCATAGAGTCAGAAAGCCAGTAACAACATCTTTTTGTCCCTGCAGAGTGTGGAAGGTATTCTACTGAGTAAGAAGATAGGGTGTTGGGAAATTCTGATGATTTACCTGAATTTACCCTATAAGGGACACTGGTTCTTTTGTGGTTCAAAGTTGACAATAGCATGTGTTATTGGTTTGTGTTAATTACCTTTTCTTTATGGAAGAGAGGACCAGGTCTCATAGTAGCTCCCCAAAACACTCACACCACCACTCCCCCAGAGCATCACACATACACATTTCCCTAATCTTGTTCTATAGTCTCCTGCTTAGTCCCTATTCATAGTCCTTAAAATATTTATGGGCCAGTGCTTTGGAAAATCCTGGGTGGATATTCAAAAAGGAATTTTTTTTCATGGATGTACCTCAGCAAAAAAAGAAAAAAGAAAAAAATGAGGGTTTAGTATTATGATGATAACCTGGGTTGTTGGTCATCAGAAGCCCCATTAATGACGGGGTCCCCAGGGTTCCTTCAAAAAGTGGGTGGAGTACTGACTTCATTTGCATCTCACCAATAACTGCTCCTGTTTCTTTCTGTTTTTCTCTTTGAAGACATGACAATGGATGAAGTCCGAGAATTCGAACGAGCCACTCAGGAAGCCACCAACAAGAAAATCGGCGTTTTCCCACCCGCAATCTCTATCTCGGGCATTTCCCTGCTGCCTTCTTCGGTGCGCAGTGCCCCGTCCAGCGCTCCGTCCACCCCTCTGTCCACAGACGCCCCAGAATTTCTGTCCGTTCCCAAAGATCGGCCCCGGAAAAAGTCAGCTCCAGAAACTCTCACACTTCCAGACCCCGAGAAAAAAACCACCCTGAATTTACCCGGCATGCACTCTTCAGATAAGCCATGCAGGCCCAAATCAGAGTAACTGCGTATGAATAGCCCATGGGGTTCTATGTTTTCATTTGGGGTTGGCTGGTTGTTAGTTTTTTTTAAAAAAAAGAATCTTCTGATAGTGGAAAAGACTGCTTTGTCACTCAAACCTGTTCCTTTGATCTCCAGGTGTGCATGTGGTTAAGTAATTTTGCAAATAATATGACTCCCTAAGTAAGCCCCACGTCATAGTAGATGTGAGGTGTAAGACTTGCAAAAACCAAAAAGAATCCTTGATAGCCACAGCTGTTAGCAGGGAGGAAGCCTTGCTATTGGGAACTTGAGGTTGACATGGACTTCAAGAGTAGATATATGAAACCCTCACACTGCTTTGTTGCCAGGTGTGGGAAAGTCAGTTTCCTTCCATCAAACCTGAAATTCTCAAAATTGCTCTCAGGCATCACATAGGTAATTCTTAAATTTTGAACTGCTGACCACCAATACTTGAATACCAACAGTTACTGAGATTCCTATTTTGCTTAGTCTGACTCAGGATTTGGGGCCTAATTAACTCTTAAAATTTTTGAAAATTTTAATTATCAACCTATAGAGGCTCCAAGTGCAATTAATGATAACTTCTTTATATCTTTCACAGAATTTAATAAAGATTCCACTTGTTTCTGTCTTTTAATAACTTTCCCCTTTTTTGCCGTTATGGCCTCAGAAATCTTTAAGAATTGTGTGGATGTGGCCACACAATTCTTAAAATTCTTAAAATATATTCTGATATATTTTGGAATGGTTTAGTTTAGAAACTGAGAGGCCCAGGTGAAGCAAACATCTTTTTCTGTACAGGTACCAACAAACTTTGACTTGTCCTCTTCCAACATCCATTAAGATTATCAAAATTTGCAGTTAACTGGGTAGAATTCATTGACTATCTGCCCATTCAAAGTAGTTCAGGGTAAAGTAAGCTCACTGGGTTTTACTGCTATCAGAATGTGAACTGTGACAAAAGACAATTCTCTCCCATTCCCCTCCTGGTTTGACTCTTAGCAACATCTAGACTTGCCTGACATGAGTTGTCTACCACCAGACCTGACTTCTTCCTTGAAATCCAAATGGCATAGCTCAAGTGGTAGAGTGCCTGCCTAGCAAGCACAAGTCCCCAAGTTCAATCCGCAGTACCACACACACACACACACACACACACACACACATATATACACACATACTGGCCTGGTGATATAGCTCAGTGATAGAGCACTTGCTTAGCATGTACAAGGCCCTGGGTTCAATCCCCAGCACTGCAAAAAAAAAAAAAAAAGAAAAAATCCAAATATCTGGACACTGCAAGGTGGGAGAAAAGAATGAGCAGAATTCTGAGTCCTATTTGTAAAGAGAAGAGCAATGATAAATGTCTCTCTGTCTTTCATTTCTGCAAGTAGCAGGAATGCAGGATTTGAATCAAGGTTGACAGGAGACAAAAATCGTTCATCCAAAGTGGTGAAAACAGGATTCTCCTCCAGTCTAAAGAGGGAAAACTGTCACCCTTGCACCTCACTGCCTTTACACAGAAGGAAGGGCAAACAATCTCAGCATTGACATTTGCCTTCCAAGAGAGGAAGAAGAGAACAAGGTCACTGGGCAGCTCCAAAGCCTATGCCCCAGCTAGCCTTCCTGATCATAATCTTCAACCTCAGGAAAGGGACCTTCCCAAAACTCAGATTCCAAAGGAAACAGACCAAGGAGCATACTCTCCTTCCCCGCCAACTCTCAGCCAGGGACCCTGCCTGCTGCCCTCTCTCAGTGCCCAGCACTCTGTGTAGTCTCTTTCAGGTTCATACACTCTCCCAAGGTGCAGGCACTGGCCAAAGTGCAGGCGCTGGCCCCATGAGCCCAGCACCACAGCGTTCAGAGTGTCTAGATCATTTCTTTATGTATAGCTGGACATTTAGCTTTTTAAAGAAAAATACACCCAGTACTCAAAGGAAACCAGTTGCAAATAGCTTAGATCAGCAATGTATCTTTTCCTTAAGAATGATAGTATCGTAGTAAGACACCTTTGCATGGTATGGAAGCATGAATTTTGCTTGTGGGAAAATGTAATTTTTTATCGAACCCCTTGGACTTCTCAGTGGCTCCCTCTCTGCTCAGTAGTACTTTATGAGAATGTTTGGCTTCAGAAAACAAAATTCTACTTACAGAAGACACAGAGATAGTATTTGTGTTTGCCTACCATTTGCAAACTGAAATTGGGGTGGGGTGGGCTCATTCTTTTCACACAGGACAAACTTATTTTGTGCAGGTTGTTAACACATCTGGTTTTGCCATTAATACCATTGATATTTTCCCTTTTATAAAATAGCTTCTGCCGTCAAGGTCAATGATCTGACATGCTTTAGAAAGCTAATTTCCAACTTCCTTTTGTGTAAGTTTTATTTCTTTTCTAGCCAGTATAATACTATAGACATCAATAGCAGAACTACACATATTGTGTGATTCTTAACCAACAAATGTGGGTTCTCTTAAAGTGCGCTCATCACTTTTTCTGTCTAGACGTGTCTTGTGTGCATTATCAAAGGGGGAGGTGCAGATGGTCCTTCAGCTGCTTTGAATATTACTCCTGTCATCACAAGGCATAAACGACTTCAGTATTTTATGAATCTTGGTTTCCAAGCATCATTTCACTTCCCCCGCACACGAATTTATTTGTGGGGTACAAGCCTGTGATGAATGCATATACAACATTAACCATTCTTATAAGGATGGAAATTAAATGGCTGCATGATGGAAATTTAAAAGGAAAAAAAAGCAGAAACTTGAGTTTGCTAAGCATGTTTGAGGAAAAATAGAATTCTTAACTCAGTGCCTCTGTCTGCCATGTGGAACCTTCAACTTTGTTCACCAAAATTGTATTATTCCTGTAAATATATATAAACATAGTGTAGAGAGTCACACACCACCAGTTTTAAGTCTCTCGTAGCCAATTTGAAATAAATAATCCATAGAGTAACACACACGTTCACCCCTTCTTTATCTCTGATGTTAGTAGACACCATCAAAATGTCAAAAATGGCTAAGTTTCGTTACTTTGGGTGATTTCAAATATGAACTGTCCCTGTGTTTTTGTTTGTTTGTTTGTTCTGCCGTAGCACAGTATTCTTCCTCTGGTTGTGCTTTCCTGGGATAAGGAGGTCTCTGTGTTTTTAATACGTCAGCTTTGTCAGAAGATCATTTCATTTTCAGCTGTGGTAAGATAAAGCAAAGGAAAAGGAGCACAATAAAAAAGAGGTTGTGATGTGTTTGGTTACCACCATTAAAACTGAATCAACACAAGTTCATTGGTGAACTAACTTGGTTTTGCATCTATGTGTGGGAAAAATGGTTTCAATTTGTTTTTAGGTTCTAGCCATGTTTTTAGTTGTGGAAGTAAGTAGCACAGTTGTGGACACCTAAAAACCCGACAATACTCACCCATCACTTCTGAGTAATTTTGTGGGTTTTCTTTCAAGGCACTGTGGTAAACAGTGAACTAAGAGAATAAATCCTGACATGTCTTGATAAATCACTTATTAGTGGAAGTTTCAAGACGAATGTACTTAACATGTATTTTAGATTTCTACTCTCTTTAGTATCTCTTCGTGGCTCAGATACAAGATAATAGGTTGCTGGCTGCCTTAGGCCAATAGAAATTGAGAAGGGCCAGAGTGCAGTTGACTCTACATAAAATTCATAACCAGATAATCCAGTAGAGAGGAAACAAATGGTTTTAGTACTTTTCTGATCATCTGACTACTAAGGCAAGGTGACAATCTGCCATCTGAGCCATAGTTCTTAAAAATAAAAAAAACACTGTCCAGTGACTCCAACTCAATTATAAGTAAAATATTTTAAAATATCCATTCTTGCTGGAACTAAAGTGTTACACAGTAGCACAGTGTTGGCATATTGAGGCAAAACACATTGGGTTCTTCTGTGCTCTACCTTCAAAATAATCTGTTTTCATTTGAAATATAAGTGTTTGAGCTTTGTAGGAGTTAGCGCAATAAGAATGTGAATGTTGAGAGCTTTTCTGATGCCATTATTAATCGCTATGTTGTTGTGAAGTTAGCAAATGCTTTAAGGATGTTTTTGCTTTCAAGTCAAAATCTTGCCTGTTGAATTGCAAGTCTCTCTTTCAGTTTCTTTGTATCACCAAGAAAAGAAGAGGTTCTTTGAATTGACATTGTCCCTATGCCACTTATGTGTAGCTTCAAGTGTGATTTTAGTGTTTACATTTCCAACTGGGACCTTGATTGATTAAATTAGTAAAAACACCACTGCCACCGCTGAAGGACCAAGTGTTGGAACACACAGTGTTACAGACGACAGGCAGAGCAAACAGAAGTTGATCCTCACACGTGCCATCCTCTATGTCATTTTATGGCTGTACCGTGTCGTCGTTGTTGCCCCTTATTTATTATTGTTAATAACTTACTTTTCTTACATTCTGTTGTAAATAAAGTACAAAACAATCTTCTTTCCAAGTGTAGCTTCCTCTCTCTCTTTCTCAACAAATCTCAAGGGAATATTGCCATCATTAACTTGGGGGTTGATGGGAAAGAAGATACGGTGGAAGAAGGACCAAGCCAACTGCTGCTGCTGAGAGCCGTTTCTAGTGTCTCGTGTGCAAGGATGCCTCACACACTACTAGGCATATGGTGCCCTTGAGCCAGGACCCTTGGTAAGAAAAATCTGGGTGTCCTAACTACCCAGTCAAAAAACACCCATGATGGATAGATATGTAACCCCACAGCACACTGACATGGGCTCATCCACCCACCTGGCACACACTTGATTTCCCTATGTAGAATTCAAGGCCACATACCCCAAAGAAATCTCAAGAATGCCACCCCAGTGGGACACCAGATTCTCTCCACAGAGGTTGGATCTTTTTTTTTTTTTTTTTCTGGTGATGGTGGTATTGGGTTTGAACTCAGGGCTTCAGACTTACTAGGCAGGTGCTCTACCACTTGAGCCACACCCTCCAGCCCCTTTTGCTTTGGTTATTTTTGGCATAAGATCTCACTTTATGCCTGTGCTGGTCTGGATCATGAGCCTGCTATTGGTGCTTCCCAGCATAGCAGGGGTGACAGGTGCACACCACT